GGATTTCGCTCTTTTGCTCCGATTAGTTCTCCACACTCTGAACTTTTTGCTGAGTTCAGCTGCTGTTACTCCCCTGGTCTGTACAGTCAGCAATTTTCGATGTTTGGTCACACACTCAACACTCTGACCACTGCTCCAACTCAAAATCTCAGGAGTAATTATTTATCTTTTGTGTAACTACAGTTCCATATATATTTATTTATCACTTACAGCTAGTTACCTCTGGCTCACGTTATAGCAGCATCTCAAAATAGCTGTAAACAATTATTCTGTATCATTTTGTTTTCTTTTTATACCACACATTCTACAATTCGGCATTTGACAAATAAGTCAGTTTTAGGAAAAGTCTTAAAATATGAGATCACGGGGTTTTAATGGAGTTAACAGAGTTACATGATTTTTAAACTACACTATTCCTGCTGTTAAAAATATTGGAGAATGAATGGACTATTCTAAAGAGCTCACTGAAAATGGTTTTGTAATAGGATACCACCATTACTATAAGCCAGTTGGTGACATTCTTCCCTCAAAGGTATTTAACCGTCAACTGTAAGTGGTATTACTGAAAAGTGGAATTTAGGAACCAGAGAAACGCAGCCATGCAGTGGTAGACCACAAAGTTACAGATAAAGGATTTCAAAACAAACAAAAGACTTAAGCTCCAAGGCAAGTCAATCTAACCAAAACAAGTTCAAATTAGTTAAAGACACAAGTGTTGCACTACATGCATTTGCACTGGTCTAGTACTTTATATTTCTTATATTAGAATAGTTGTTGAAGGGCCCCGAAGGTGTAACTCAGCTCTACAATGAAAAAAGAAAATTTAGTAGAAAAATGCAAGACAGACGATTCACCTCAGCAACAGGAAACATAAAGAAATGGGTCATTCAACTAGGGTTGGTGGTCACTCAGAACCATATCTACATGAAATATTAGATGGACCACTGAGCCATCTCACCCTGTCGACCACATCTAAAGCAGCATTGATGAGATTTAATGGTGTTTTATTGTATGAATTGGGCCTGTGAGGCCATGCAGGGGTAGCTATGACTTTCCACTGATGTTTTATATCCAATTATCTTCATGCTGAGTGGAGGGAGGAATGGCAAACATGAGCTAAATGGTGCATTTCATATGTGGTCAAACCCACTTCTAACCTCAGGCTGAGCCTGAGTTGGGTTGTTACTTTCTTACACACAAGGGCAGAGAAAAGACTGCAGTCGTTTTAGTCTGTAAGAATAGGTGTATGTATTTTAAAACTTTTCTGAAAAAATGCTCCCACACTTATAAATCACAAGTGTCTTTTTTCTCTTTTTTTCCACGTTTTGTCTGATGCCCACAGATATTTTTCTTAACCACTTATTTTTATCTGAATGGTTTAAAACGGCTTTACTCGAACAAGCCAGTAGTATTTCTAGCATGTAGTACATATATGTTGTGCAAAAGTGATCGAAAATGATTTAAGCGCCCATGAAAAAAAAAATCTTGGTTGTAATTCACATCTGTGTTGGAGCAGAATTAATAGAGCTTCCATGGCATAATCGCTGGATTTATGACTACCTCTTCCCCTCAGTGATGATCAAGGTCACATCTGCATGTCTGACAACCATCAGTGTGTTCGATCTGTCTCTGTTCACTTCAGCACAGGCCCTATGACATAGACAGAAAAATATGTGTGCAAACAACAATAATGTGATTCAAGTACATATGGAGAACATAGGTAGGCTATTATGTCTTGACAAAAAGCTATTTAAGTAGCAGAAGAAAATAAATATTTTAGGACAGAAATAACGAGCAAATAAACAGACTAGACGGAATGATACCATTAGAGAAGAGAAAAATACTCGCGGATAGATTAAATGAATATAAGCAAAATAAGCTGTCTCAAGGCTCTCAAGGCCATATTCCCAACATGAAAAGTTAATAGCTATGAATTTTTCCTCTGTTTAATTTCTCAATACTTTTCAGTTTAATAAAACACAAAGAACTGCAGTGGGATGGAAGAAAATACATTTCCACTTAGAAAAGGCAATAACCTGAGAAAATAACCATTTTCAATTAAGCTAGGGTTCTGAAGAAACAAAGGATTTATGATGGTGTTCTCCTCAATTGTTTCAAGCATGACAATTATCTGCCAAACACTTGAGACTGCATTCAACTATTGCAAATCACACTTAATTGCTATGCATTGTATGTGTACAAACAGTGTAATCTGTGACTTACAGGTGTCAAGACTTTGTTTCCATTTATTTCAAAGCTTTATTTAAAGAACCAAATAATGAGTTTTATATGGATGTATAAATATTAGAAAATGAGCTGTCAAATATATTTTTTTTAACATTATGTGGAAGATTAAGACTCACTGACACTCACTCACAAAAGTACCAAAGTGTTAGAATAAAGTACTAAGATTTCAACTGTATTGACAGCCACAGGCAGTTTCAACTAAAGGAAGATACGCCTGTGGATTTTTCCCTGTGATTGCATACATACCTGTTCACTTAGGCGTCAGCACTCTGCTTACACTTTTGGCATTATGTTTGCTTTCGCAACACTTTTTTTTTTTGGTCATATACTGCTGTGACTGTCTCTACGTTCTCTTTTATCTGTAAACACATAAAAAAGGTTTACCTCTACCCAAGAACTATGTATAGATTCCTCCTGAGGGGAATTTATTATCATAAATTCCCACTGCCTGCTAGGCTTAATTTAGGGCGTCCTTTAGGGGAATGACAAGATCAGAGACTATTTTGGTGCATACGTTTGCTATCACAGAGTTAAACTCCACACATGATGATCATCTTGCAAGGAATTTATAGCTCAGTGGGTGATTGACTTAAAGTCTGTTGAAAAGAAAATTAGAGAGATAAAAATTAAAAATGTAATAATTGCATTACAAGCTAACTATAGTTCATGTGTTTGTTTAAATACCATTTAAATGTTTAAGGAACATTGTTCAGTTGTTCTTATCTAAAAATATTATCTCATTACATTACTTTTACTCACAGAAGTTTTCCACAGTCGTTTTAAAGTTTTTACTATTGAAAGTATTTATTGTTCTATGACAAATTGGGAAAATAATAAACAAACAAGCACACAAAAAATGGTAGGTATGGCAGATTTTTTTTCTATTAGATAAAAGACCTGAGTAACTACAGTTGAGTAACCACTAACTAGAGTTAATAGCTAAGAAAAAGGAAGCACATTCACTACAAACAAGTTATGCTATTGCTGTCACTGAAATACTGTTTCACTTAAGCCTATCAGCTAGCACTGGCCCACAATATGCAATGCTGAAAGGGTTATTCTTTCTTCATTTACATCTTTAACATCACAGGTATTTTCTTCTTCTCCTTAAGTTAGCTATAGCATTTTAGAGTCCCGTAAATGGTTGGTTTTAGAAGTGTGAGGCATTCCAAGACAATATGAGTACTTGTGCCAAGGAATAACTGTCATGCTGTATCAGGGGACTCTAGTGGCTGCATGGGTTTGTGATCTGATGAGATGGACTGCTTGTCATGTTTCTGCCAGATATTGAAAGAAATTGCCTGCTTGGGTAATAGAGCAACTGAACAGACAGAAGAGAAATAAAAAAAATGATGAAGTGAAACGCAAATGCCTCATCACGTCTTACTGCCACACACAGTCCTGATTATATCCAGCTGCATAGGAACACGTAGTTTACCAAGGCTTAGACTTTTAGAGGACACAAACTAAAAGTTTCAATCGAAGAGGGCTTTTGAAGGATTTAACAAGACTCTACATTCGCTTTTATGATGCAAATCAAAATCCTAACAATGATCATAAATGCTCCATAAAGAGTTAAGTTGACATAGAAGTTTGTGTCTAATCACTTTTTATCTTGTTACTATATGCAATTCTATTATATCATTGTAGTAATGGTTCAGTAGCCTAACATACTAGCAGATCTTTATTATTTGATGGTTTCATGTTATTACTTAATTAATACTGTTGTTTACAACATTTATATGCTTTTCATTTAATAAGCGTATTTTTTATTTCAATCTTGTTACCTTGTATTGTCTGTTTTTTTTACATAAGCAGTTAAATAGTGAAATGTGCATAATATTGATCTGTACATGAGAGATAAAATTATTGATGCACTTCCAAAAAAGAAGTGCCTGAAAATACTTCCCTTTTTTCTTTCATCATTTATTGATGAAAGTGGATAAAAGTGGAGAATATAAAAATATAAAATTCCTTCTTGTCACCCATAACCCCCTGAGACACACATAATTATATCACTTCAGAGTACGCAGGCCAAATACAAAGATAAAATAAGTCTATATACTTAGATAAATAAGCATGCAAGCTAAAATTATTCATGTTTTCTTGAGAGAAAATGAGTGATTTACTGTGCTTTTTGCGTTGATGCATTTACAGATGATGAATAGTTTAGTAAGTAATTCAGTCTCCTAATGAAATGCAGCTATTTGAGTATATTCAAATTGTTTTTTGTTTAATTGTTTCCTGAAATTGTTCTTCTCGGTTCATCATTGATCATCATGTAATGAACTGTGCAGTCTAGTCAAGTCACTCTGTCTAATTATTTATTAAAATTTGATGGAATTTTCACAACATCCCTAAGCAGCATATGCTGCCACGGAGACGAGAAGAAACATATTTGTTATTGGCGACTAAAAGAAATTATGATTGTGAATGGATCTGAATAATGAACTTTTAATTTGCATAAGTACTTCAGAGACTTCAGTCATCTATCTAAAACGCAGTTTGTAAGTCACAATACATGGAACTCAATGATAATTGCGAGAACACATGTCAATAAACATATTTAAAAATTCACAATTCAACAGAGATAGACAAGTATTTGCATATATAGCAATGGTTTTACAACTCTTTACATTTATTAATACTGCCTGCACCTTTAAGACATTTTAAGTCTTCACATAGCTTGCTCTTTTTAAGTAAAACTATTCAGGCAGTGATCTTTGTCAAACCTGTTAAACCTGAAGACACACCCTTCTTGTTCATTTCACTGAGGTAGACAATAACACCAGCAACTCCGCTTTTCATAAGATGGTGTGAGTATCTGTAAGGGTGAAGGTGCCTATCATCAGCAGTCCTTTAAGGAAAGTCTACTCTACAAAGAGAGATTAGAACCGACAGCGAGGTGACTCTGAAAGCAAAGGGTAAGACCATTACTCTTTTTCTCTACTCTTAATGGCCTCCTCTCACTTCCTTTCCAAGTTGCTTTCATGGGTGAGGAGGGTGATGGAATTTCATTACTTATGACTGAAATCCAAAGGAGTTTTGAAAGCCGGGTGAGATGGAAAGGTGCATTCAAAATGCCAGTATACCCTCCAGATGCCAGCAATCTAATTTACTGTCAGTGTTAATAAATGGGTAGCCACTGGATGGCACAGATAAGTTGTTACTTCACCATCAGGGTTATCACTTAATATCTGATAATGTCTTTGGGGAGCAATTGTATCCGACAGTTGAAACAGGGGGCCTCAACTCCTGGCAGGAGAGATGATCATCAGTGTGGAAAGATTGTTAATCTGTCAAATCAATGTGACTTCACTCAATAAAGTGTTCGTAAAGAGACTTAAGTTTAGACTGTAGTGTTAATGATTCACATTTGTGAAAAATGATCTCTCTTTAATGAAATGGGACACTTCTATGCATAATATGTTCAGCTCTCTGTTGTTTACTGACTAGACATATATCATTACACCGATTCAGGCAGTGTCCTGTCTGTAGACATTGATGTCACATTTACACTGAACCAAAATGTTTCTTTGTACGTTACTGGATTTTCTTTTAGAGCATATAATGTCTTGTGCAGTTCCAAGGAAGAAGCAATATTATCTGCATAATTGAAAGCATTCCTGCAAAACAATGTAAGACGCAGATGATAAAGAAATGAAACCCAGCACTGGCAAAGAAACACATTTGAGTCATGGCACACAGTGAAGCAGTGAAATCTTAACAAACACGACAAAGTGTAATAACAGCATTATGACGCTGGATGCTGGCTGTTGTTATTGTAAACAAAGCTCGTATTGTAAAGCCTGAGAGTGTGGGAGTCGCCACATAATTATTATTTTTTGAGGCGACTGAGGTCCTTCAGCATCTGCCAGAAAATGCTCAGGATTTTCTACGAGTCTGTTGTGGCCAGTGCGATCCTCTATGCTGTTGCATGCTGGGGGAGCAGGCTGAGGGTCGCAGATGCCAACAGACTCGATAAACTGATTCGTAAGGCCAATAATGTTGTGGGGATGGAGCTGGACTCCCTCAAGGTGGTGTCGGAGAGGCGGATGCTGTCCAAGATAAAGACAATGTTGGATAACACCTCCCACCTACTCCATGACATGCTGGTCAGTCACAGGAGCACATTCAGTGAGAGACTGAGATTACCGAAAAGCACCACTGAACGACACAGGAAATCTTTCCTGCCTGTGGCCATCTCCCTGTACAACGCATCCACTTAACACACTGGTTACTGCTACAACTACATGTTTCTTTTCCAGCTATTTATTTATGAGTGACTTATGTATGTATGTATATATATGTATATATTGTACTATTCTTAGTTAGCGTACTGTCTGTCATGTCTTAATGTTGGTTTATAATGGAGCACTGTAACAAAAAAAAATTTCCCCCAGGGATCAATAAAGTATTCTGATTCTGATTCTGATAATGCGCCCCATATAATTCCCTGTGGAAATTCTGCTATAATGAAGCTACACACGGCGTATTACATTTCTGCCATTTCCTTCACAGATCTAAACCATCAGCTCTCAAGTCATTGGACTAAGCTCAACTTTTGTCAGAACAAACACTCACAATGGGAAGAGGTGAAAGTGAAGTGTGGGAGGAAAACCCTGACGATGTTAAGCAAACTCAACCCAAAAAACACACACCCACAAAGAGTAAAAGCACAGAGAAATCGGGGAGTAGCTGTCCCGCGTGCTGCTTGAAGACAAGGAACTGCCTGATGAGCCCAGAGTGTGGCAGGGCACTTCAGATCTCCCGTGTTGTTGCTATGTGTGGAATGTGTCTCCGCATGTTTATTGTAAGTCCAAACTTCAGAAACAGCAAGCAGCTATGATACAGCATATAACTGGTTGGGTGCGCTGATGCTTGAATGGGAAAATAATTTCCTGCTTAGATGAGTATAATCATTGCTAACACAAATATATAACCCTGACATTTAGAGGGTGAATACATTTCATTTGTCTTTTTCTGCACATTGCAATTGAAATACAAGCCAAGTGGAAAAAAATCCACAGAAAACAAAATGATTATTTATGGAAAATTGTCTTCTTTTTCCTAATTTTTCATTATTATTTTCTTTCTTTCTTTTTTTATTTTGAAATTGCAGAGATGAACCTTGGACGACACGACCAACCTGGAATATATTATTATTATTAAATCTCCTCCAGCACTTTGCATGAAAATCATGCCATTACTCAAAGAAGATAAAAATGAAGTAACATATGAGAAAACATGTAAATAAGACCAACACTAATTATTAGTAGTCAATCAGTGGAAACACTGAGGTAAAGTGAATGTTACCTTATTATAAAGTTAAACTTTTTTAAAAAAACTTTAACACTGAAGCCTCTCGTAATAAAATCATGTTTGCTTAATCAGAATGCTACAGTATTTAGTCAAAGCAGTTGTATATTTATTTTTGAAAAAAATTTCATTAATGTAAAAAATAATTATAGTAAATAAACTGGCACATCTAAGTAGTATCTTATCTAGGTTTCTGCTGATGAAAAATGTTAACTAAAGCTTTTAGTAACATCCCTGTAATGACAACACAAGTGTGTCACCTGTACCAGTGCTAATAATAAAAGCATTTAATTATTTAAATACTTTATACTGTCAACGCCCTCACTTGAAGCCTGTTGGGAAATAACCAGACTAAGGAGGTATCTTCACATATTAACAAAAGACAGCTATGCCATTACTCATGCTTGTGAGTCAGACCCTTTCATGGCGTGCTATTGACGTCATGGAAAAGCCATTGAAGATTTTATGTCAATAACATTGGCAACTAGATGGTGGAGAGTTTTATAAATAGCATTTTTACAAAACTATCACGAGCCAATTCCAGTACTTTTTGGGAAGGAAAAAAATCCAGGTTGCTGGTTGCACAAAACTACTACCTCTTCCTTTTCAACAAGATTTCAGGCTCACCTGATCACTGCAAGGTTTAGTTGACCTTGTTGTGAAAAACCTAGTGGGAGATTCTGTGACACGGTTAAAAATAAAAATTGGCCACCATTAAAAGAAAAAGAGAATGACCTTTCTTGTCAAATAGGGCAAGTGAAACACACACCCCCTTTGCTCTCTGTTGCTTTACTTTTGACTCAACTGCTCATGTACCTGTGTGTGCACGTTTGATAGGGTTAAATTGCTTGCTGTGGCTTACTTGGCTTGATGTAGCTGCAAAATGTTGGTTGCATCTATATACAAAGCAGCTTAGCTACCTTGCAGGCTCATTGTTCTTACTGAAACAAGCTGTTCAGTCTAACTGCAAATATTTGGGGAATGTGGTTCTCCTCAATGTTGCCTTTTATAGATGGAACATCTTTCTTTTATTATTAGGCAAGCTAAAAAATCCTAATTTATCCTGGATTGTTGACAAAAGACTCCTCTTTGACGTAGGGCGAAAGAACATGTTGGTCCTATTATTGTTGGTTACAAAAAAGGCAGTTGTTTTGCACTCCCTTCCCCAGGAAAGCCAAATAAATTGAAATGGATTTGTTCGATATCCAAAAAAAATCACCTTCAATAAAGTTTGCCTAAATAGCTAGCTGATTTTCTGAGTCTAAAATGGCATACAGGTTGAGCTGTTGTGCTCACAACCAGACCACAGTAAGAAAATGCCCTGTCTTTCCAACAAATCCAAGAGTAGAAAATACTGTAAGGGACCTTATTTGTTTGTTTAGCCAAATCCAATGAGACAGTGTTTACCTTTATACCCCTTTATCTACATTTTCATACCTCTTTATTTCAAACTTTGAGCCTCCACCATTGTAAAAGTATCTATTTGAAAAAAGTGCATTAAAAATATGATAGATCTACTTTAAAGAGGATATGTGGCTACCCTACATATCAGCAATAGCAGAGGGTAAAAGATGTTAGAGCCTTATACTGAAATGCATGGTAGTGAGGAGGGTTGGTAATGGATATTGTTTTCTTTTTTAAACTGAGAATACATTGTACAGTAAATGGAGTTTATTAATAATTTTCTCAGAACATAAAATAAAGTCAGATAATGACAGCTGGGATAGGCTCCAGCGCCCCCCGCGACCCTGAACAGGATAAGCGGACGCGAATGGATGGATGGATGGATGGATGGATAAAATAAAGTCATTCTCACCCAAGTTGAAGGGAAGCGCTGGGGTGGAGATTCTGAGATTTTGGCGCTTTTTGTATGTGGAGTTCTGCTGAGTCAGTTAATAAAGTTGGAGTGAGACACTGAGACCTCTTCTGTCGTCTTTACATACCTCCACAATAGCACTATTTCTGCTGCTAACCTACAATCATTGAGGAATGATCATTTTGTTTGACTCTTTTTTTTTTTTTTCACAAATTACTATTATTCTCACACCACAAAATATTTGAAAAAACCCCAACAAAAATAAAAAAATAAATAACACGTATTGTATCCAAAAATGTACCAAATTTAATACAAAAATGAAAGTCGAGCTTACAGTCAGAAACGTGAAGGCAGTCAAATTCAGTAAACTCAAAGGAGTCAACAGGCAGATGGTGCACCTGAAAACCGGCAGAAGATGTTCATGAACAAGAGCAAACAAGAAATGGAAAAACAAGTGGAGAACGCAAATTATCTGGCTGCATATCAAGACAGCAAGAGTTCAGCAACAGGCTAAGAGGTAGCAGCTGGGTAAGCACTTACTGTATCTAGTAGATCAGGTGGTTGGCAAATCACTCTATTTTTTGAGTACTGGACAAATGAGCAATGTGCAATCTGCTGTGACAGAAATGAGTATGCATTTTTATTAGTTTTTTAAAGTTTGATTGTGATTTAAGGGAGATGAAATGAGCCAGAAAAGGACACAATATGTGATGAAAGCAAAATTTACCTTTATTATCAGGTGTCATGACCAATAAGACAAACACAATCTGCTCCTGTCAATCATTTCAGTGACCATGTGAGCTGTATTTATTACTTGCAGCCCTGTAGGTCAGCTGCAGATTCCAAATGCATCACATGTACATTATAGCAATGCTAATCAATAAAAAGGCAGAACATATTTTGTTATGCATGATAAAATATGTGTATGGATATTTATGTGTGTGTATATATGTATGTATGTATATATATATCATTCTGCCCTTATTGGGAAGCTCTGCTTTTCCTTTCCAGTTGAAAGCTGAATTAGACTGAACTATATAGAGTAATAATGGATAAGCCACCAGGAAAGTAACTGTGAAAATATAAAAACAAAAAGATATTTTGTCATTATGTGTGTGACATTAGTGGGTGGTTTTCTAGACTATCACTGTCAGCGCTCCAAAGAGCTCATCCTTGTAGCAGTGTCATTTCAAACACCACAGCTGACTGAGCCTGACTATGAACTCCAGAACCCTGGATGAAGCCCACTAAGATCAGCTCATACTTCTTCAGTTATGCCTCACATGGAAGCTTGAATACTGACAATAAATCATCTTTCTTTCTGCTTTGTATGAAGTGTCAGTGAGTACTTAATATCTTTTATGAACAGAAACACTACAGAGAACCCAAAACATTCATATTTGGCAACTTGCAACCAATTTATGAAAAGGTCTTTGACCACCACTGACTGCTAGAAATAGTCTACAGATCCTCTACCCTCCTCTATTATCATTCTTTACTGTAGTTCTGTTGCCATTTCATCTTTTTACTCCTCAGCAAACTCTTGCATCCTTCTTTTGCCGCATCTCGTCTGTGCCGAGTGCCACTGTGTCAGCGTAGGCATCACAATACAGGGGTGACATTTCAAGCCGACAGATTAGGGCCGCTCTCCAATTAATTTTGCTTTCCTTTGCCTGTTAAATACACAATCAAGCAAAGGCAAAATGTCAGTGAAACAAACGAGGTGCCGCCATGTGGCTGACAATTACCGCCAAGCACCTCAGAAATGCCAATATGTTAAAGTGGGAGCAGTGTGTGAGATGAATGGGGACAAACGGCAATCTTTGAGATGCCTTGTTGTTCCAACATCACTAAAACAGGCATGTCAGCGCTGCCAATGTTATCTGATCTAGTGACAGACAACATGTAGATGCAAAGGTCAAATTTCCTCAAAGTTTTTATCCGATTATATGTTACATAGCCACTAATATCTTTATTAATCCAAATTATTTGTAGAATTAAATGAAGGACTGCTGGTTGAAGAGAGGGAACTCGATGCATGGCGATTCAGAAAACAAAAATAAAATAGCTGAATACCAAATTGTTATTATTATCCAAATTATTATGAAAGTTATTAAAGCTTTAAATTGCATTTTTGTACATTTTACTTTACTAACTGCTCAAACAGGATTATTATTATCAGTGGTAGTAGTAGTATACTAGGCAGCACAGTGCTATCGTACAATGGCACTCAGATGTTCCTTGCTAATCACGTTAGCTAGTAGTCCGTGATAATGGTTGTTTATTACTGCCTAACTCTTTCCTCTAATTCATCATTTTTGAAAGTGGCATGAACATAAAACTTGGGATTTAAAAGGCTTTCTAAGAGGATTTCATGCAGCCTAAGATACTTCTTCAGAAAACTGTCTGTACTTACCCTCTCAGATAGGTGTACAACTTAGAGACTGGAGTATTACTTGAATATTAGATTGACAGTTTATATTCTGAACAACAGCGTATAAACCCTACAGGACAATATTTTTTAATATAATACTGCCCAATATGTTTTGGTTAGACTTATTCCCTCAATACTGCAGGTCAAATACTCACCACTGTGTTACAGGCAAGCACAGACATAGAAAACCTTACTGATATACACATGAGTAAGCCTTGCCAATTTGTTAAAAATAAATTCAGAATAGGTATAAAAAAGAGAAAAAAATACATTGTTTTTGGGAGCATAGCACTGTAATGTTGTCCACAGATGACCCTTTGTGGAGGAGAGTGGACTACGCTGAAGGAGAATCAAATCTACTACAATGAGAGCCAACCCACGTCGGGGCTGATCAGGATTTCAAGCTGTTCCTGTTGGATAGTGATTCATTATGAGCACACTAAGTCCATCTGTTGATTCTGCTCTAAGCCATGGATGTCTCTCTGCTACATATCTCATAGGGCTAAATGTGCCAAACCTGGGTGAAACGCACCCACCTGTCTCCTCCCACCCAAGAGAGGAATGGTGGAAAACCAGTCCTGTGTACTGCTAGAGGGCTACATTGTGTTTGTCAGGTTGAGGAAACAGAAATCCTCCTCGCTTTTCCAAGTTAGTTTAATCACCACCTTTTGCCAAAATGCACAGCAGGCCCAGCCTTTGATTGACTTGGCCCACAGTCAGCTAAATGCAATTTGTTGCATAAATGCTAAATCGATGGGTCCTTACACCAATAGAATGACACGGCAGTGTTACATGATAGTAGAGTCAAGGTTCTTCACAGCTTATGGTCATGGAGAGATGCCAAGATTCTGAAATGATTCCGAAATGCAAAATCTCTGAAATTCTTGCAAAAAAGCCCCCAAAACGCATCTATTTTATTTCTAGCTCATCTTGCAATTGAAAGCCTACATGAATATGTTTTCACAGACAAGAAATACCTGCTCACTTGGCACTTACTGACAAGGTCCATCTCTCACTGAATGAATACTGATTATATCATATTATAAAAGATCTTCTGATGATTAGACATCTCTCAGACCCACTGAGAGATGTCCGGTCACCTTATTCATCCACAGGGTAACAATTCATATATTCCCAGATACCTTGAACAATAAGACTCTGGGCATGTCTTTTTTTACCCTGAACTTTTTTTTCTCTTCCCCTTTTACTGACACCAAGAAGATGAAAGGGGGAAAAGTGATAAAAATGTTTGACTACGCACTGTTTGTGTGTGTGTGTGTTGCACTACTGTTTGTGTACGTTGTAGAAAGTGGGGGAGATGAGAGAGACCAGGACAGGGAAAGAGAATGAGACAGAGAAAGAGATGAGATTTGTGATCTCATCTGTTCACCCGGGGCCTCTCTCCAGAGCAGCCTTTTACTGTCGTCAATCATCTCCATGGAGACATCTTAAAAGTCTGATGGATGGGAGGCTTTGATGCATTTCAAACATGGCTCTGATACACGTTGGAGAGAATGTGGATGGAAGCCACTCACCTTGCGTTGGGCTTGATTACACCCCCAAGCAATAGAAAGAGTTGGGCCTCTAGTTAAAGTGCAGTAGTGTTACAGGTCACTCACAACAATAACAACTGCCAAGAATATACATGAGTGTTTTTTCCTTTTCTTATACCTGCAGTTCACATAAACAGGTAGAAATCTGCCAGCTTGGATAAAATAATGAGTACAGAGAGGAGAAATTCCTAGTGATTACACATAAATTACTGCATGTGTTGCTGGGTAGTCATCACATTACATGAAGTTTTCTTTAATAGAGTATTAGCATGGACTTTGACTTAGAAAGAAACAGTTTTAAATGTCACAGCCATGGTTCATGGTTATTCCACAAACTATTTTTTTTCAGATAATAAGACAGTCTTAAACATGTTATGTATATTGTTACCTTCAAACAAAGAGGATTGCTTGAGAAATACAGTGGAATTAATTATTATTGTAAAGGATTAGCCAATATTATGGTATTAGTATGAGCTTACTGCCACTGTAAAATTAAAATAAAAAATGCAAAATGTTAAGATATTAATATTTTATTTCTGGCAGATACATACATACATTTATTTCCAGATTAGTACCCCAGTACTCTCACATTCAGCTACATGAATGCCAATGTAATATTGCTCATGTATAACCACAGTGATTTTTAGTTGAAATTTCTTTGTAATTAAGTGGTAATATCTTGTTGTTGTTGTTGTTGTTTATATAATTCCCTCATTGTTTCCATCTTAATTTCTTACTATTAGCACATTATTATTCAACTAATAGTAAAATGCTGCTGAAATCAATTAATATGCTTAGACCATACCACTTATCCAGAAAGCATGCACAGCTTCAGGGAAGTATGAGCATTAATATATTTAAATGGAAACCCTCGAAACAGAGATCTTTGCTGTATTTTTCTTTCTTTTTCTTTCTTTTTTTTTTAAATACTTTTGCAATTTGGAAGTTTTATGTCTTTATGCTAAGCTAAGCTGGGTTAATATTATTGGGATTTGTACAGCAGCATCAATTTTCTGCTCTAACTTTTGGGAATGTGCATATTTCCCATTATGTCTCTTTAATGGATTTAGACTGAGTACGAGTTAATTGTAAAGAATCAGTTAATGCAGTAAGGTCTGTAGGTGCAGGACAGATATGAATCCGTTATCCTTTAACGAGGCAGGAGTTTAAATGAGGTTAAATAATAATAAAGTTTAGGATTTCTCTATTTCATGTAGGTAACTGTGTGTACTGCCATATAAGCAATTGTTCATCTGCAGTTGGGTCTTTATTTTATTTCAAGAGTCAATTTAAACCATACAATTATGTAGATTTTTAATTATTATACTTGAGTAGGAAACAGAGCTGTAAGTCTAAAAAAAGTAAGTCTATATTACTGTTCTTGAGTGATAGACTTTAATGTAATATACTGCAGTGGGATATACACACCAACAAAATGGACATGTGATGAAAAAAATCTATATTCTATAGGAAACACAGATGGTTTTCTGCTTGGCAGATACTACTGGTAGATGCCCTTGTCTGTTTCTCAAGAACAAGGTCTCTGTGCCTTGCATTCTCCCTTCCAGCAAACAAACAAAGCTGATGTAATCCTCAGCTTCCTTAAAGCCTGATAAGAGGGAGTCAGGGTCAGTAGGACAAAACAGAAGAAATACATTTGGTGTATCATTAGTGTCTCTCAGGCTCTGCGCAGGATTAGCTGGGCTGCTTTCATTGCAGTTTTACCGCCAAGACCAACTTAGTACTGAACTTTGTTCCTCACCCAAAGGATGTGGAAGTAGAATTCAATATGCTCTCACCTGTTTTTCTGAGATTTTGCAGGAAGTTCAAGTCTTTTGGCTTGCAGCCTTCACAGCACTTACTTTGTCAGCATAATTTACGGCCATTAGAACTGGTAACATAACAGTCCTTCCGAGTTTAACTCCAGAAAAAAAAATGCTTTCACTTATACCTAAGGAGGAAAAAAGACAGCAATGACGTCCCAAAGAGCATTCGGGGCTGTAGCAATACACTGTAGACATTTTAAAGTGTAGGATAAAAAAAAAACAAAAAACAACTTACCTCCTTTCTTGTTTTCACTCTTTGTTCTCAAAAATAGATGGCTGTCATTGATGGTGGTAGATTGCTGCTTTTTCTGAGTCTGTCAGTCACAGAAAGAAAGTTTTAGTCAGCTCCAAAGATGACATTTTACACCTGTAACTTCAGGTATAAAACTGCATGATGATTCTTAAATGATATCTCTTTATCACCTATTCAGGTTGTAAATCGTGTTTTTAAAAAGTAACTAAGTAATTAATTACTTTTGAAAATAAGTAATCAGTAAAGTAACGGGATTACTTTTTGGGAAAAGTTACTTGAAAAAAGTAATCAGTAATTAATTACTGATTACTTTTTTCAAGTAACTTGACCAACACTGGTCGGTAGTGCTCAGAATTATTGGGTGCTTTTATTCGAAAACAGACGAACAGAGTATTTTACTCACTCTAGAGATTTAGCCTCTTTCGTTTTTTTAGTCTAAGTCAGGGGTCGGCAACCTGCGGCTCTTTAGTCCTTATAGTGCGGCTCCCCGTGGTTTGGGAAAATAAATTAGAAGTATTTAGCTGAAGTGTATTTTATTTATGTTAGTTCTTCTTTTTTTTTAAACTTGTACTTCTAAATTGGAAGATTATTGTGATATTGAAATATAAAAATAAAATTATATTATATTATTTTCTCATCGCTCAAAATAAGCGTCACACTCGCGGAAGCCCGTGTACCCACCAAAACGCCGTGCATTTATCGAGACTTTCAACCCCAGGTAGGCCAATTATGGATCTTCGGATCCACATTATGTCAGCGGCTATTCTCCACTGTGAACTATGTTAAAAACAAACACCGCTCACGCCTCACAGATGACAGCTTATAGTCCTGCGTAAAGATGAAAGTGACTTTGTACAGCCCCGATTTGCAGACACTGTGCGCATATGGGATATGCGCAGCGGTTCAGGAACAGAAGTCCCATTGTAAACATATCACAACAGACCCGACAATGTTTGCATGAACAAGCTTTTCTGCGTCTCTTTATTGACCACTTTTCACACACGGTTGCTGTACGCATAGCCGGCTGTAGCTTTTCAGCTCACAGCCCGACACACACCAACACAACAGCATAGATAGCACAGACGTTAAGGCGGCGAGGCGTGATTGCGGGTGCCGCTCAGGTGTGTCCGACTCCCATACAGCGGCACTGCAGACCACACCCCGCCACACACATTAACCTGGTAAAATACATATTTAGACAGAATTTTGCAAATATCTATTTTTCATTTTTTAGCAGCATAGTGCTTTTTTTCCAATTATTTTTTTAAAAAGTCAGGTCAAGGCTCCAAAAGCCCAAAGGCGATATAAGGGTGGCGGCTCACAACAGTTTTTGTTTGCTGGATCATTTTAGTTCAGCTGGGTGTCTTTCCTTTTGTTATATTTCTTTAAGAGTTCAAAATGTGTTAATTACATAAATAAAATGTAACTTTCTCTGTAGCACTTCATGGATTTCATAAGCAACACACCTTAGTTGTTCACACAAAGCATAAAGGTAAAAAACAATATATACAGTGTTATCTTCATTTTAGATGTCAAAAAGTATTTGCGGCTCCCAGTGTTTTCTTTTGCGTGGAAACCAGGTCCAAATGGCTCTTTTGGTGTTAAAGGTTGCCGACCCCTGGTCTAAGTAGACTAATAAATGTTTAAGTGTCTCATTTTGTATCTTGTGTAATTTATTCTTTATGAAAAGTTCTAAAATTTAATGGGGAATCTTTTTTAAAAATATTCTAAAAAAGATTTTGGAAAAGGATAAAAGAATCTTGTAAACACTCCTGTCCCAGCTTGTTGAAAGAATCACATCAATTGGGAATAGTTATAACCGCAGCCAAGGTTATTGCTTCTTCAGAACATCATTTGTTACTGTATTTTGTGAGACTTTTCGTATGGCAGTATAACGACATTATGTAACTGTGAAGCTAAAAATAAAGATATCACCAAATAAGTGGAGCTATCCTATGCCATTAAGTCGTATGCTGTGACACACTAAAATATTTTCAGCAATTGCGAGAACAGTCTTACATCCGTCATATTTTTATTGTTGCGAACAATTGAGAAACTATGTTAGTTGTTCGTGATAAAAGTATAAGAACTTTGAAACCACTGGAAAACTCTTCTTGGAGCTTAGTCACAATCTTCCTCATGGTGTTTTCTATTTTAAATCCACCTTTTGGACATATGTCAGTACTTTAAAGTAGGCCAAAGTTACATTTTTATTCTTGGACTCAATTTGCAGACTATTAGGGGAAAAAAACATTATTTATCTTATAGTGGGCTTTGCAGCCCCTCAGTTCATCCCAGTGTCTAAAATTTGCTTTTCCTTTTATTTTTTGCTTCCTTAAGGGTCTCCTCCCTAAATTGGTCCAATGTCCATACTACTAACGGTCTCTGACTTTGTCTTCATATGTCATGCTTGTGCTTTTTACATCCTGTGCAGCTGTATGTACGCGGGGAGGGGGGGGGGGGTAAGAAGAAGGGATGACCCTGATGAAGGCCACAAGCCGAAATGCGTTGGTCAATTATTAAAGTTGTTCATCTTCCCTCAAGTGTTGCTGGAGTTCCTGCATTGTGAAAAGAGAGTGGTTAGCCTGGTATTCGGGTTAATGTAAAGCAGGTTTTCCAACAAGTTTCTGAAGAGGAGGGAGGAGACAGATGAACACAAGGCAGAAAGAACTCAAATGACAAGTAATTGCACAAGAGGCCTGGACTATGCTACCACACAACCTGGCAAAGACTGGATGTGAGAGCAGTTTGGATGGATTACAGGATCACCAGCCAGAGACTTCCAAGACAACTACTAGGCATCACCAAAGAAGCAGTTAGTCACACCCACACCCACATTCACACAGGGAAGAGAAAGAGAGAAGGCAAATCCACACCTGGAGGACAAGGGGTAACTATCACAGGTACAGGTAGAACTATTCACAGTGACATCACCAATACAAATAAGATGTACAAGTAAGTTAACATGTACAACACATTGACGCATTAAGTAATATACAAATAGAATGAACCAATCAATTAACGTCATTTATTACAGCAGTGACTATCCCTCCATGCCAGGCCTGCTTGTTTTGCATGCCACCTATGTTTTTCCAAGCCACAACACACCTCAAAACGTTCATGCTGTCTGACTCGTTTTCAGTCTTCATTAGCATCTGTCAAATGCAGCATGTCTCTTGTATACTTCACTCTCACAGGATGTTATTTGTGTGTCCATTATGGAGAGCCAGGTCGTGCTGCAGTGACCTCTGCAATATATTTTACAGAAAGCTCTAGTGGCCTTCAGCCCTCTACTCCGGCTGGAACATGCTGTGGTGCGACAGATGTCACATTAAGCAACGCATCCACATGCCATCAGCCTGCTTCCAAAATCCTGCCACTGTCACTTTGCAATGGCCTTTCCACTGGACACGTACTGGGCTGTATCTGTAGATCTGTGCGTGAGCATTAACCAGTTAGGCAAGGGTCTCCGAGGCTTAGGCCATCAGAGTCATATTGGACGTGTGCACATGTTTACACTTAAACACACACAAGGGCTCTCTAAAGTATCTCTCTGAAGTGCTGATATTTTCTTTCATCCCATCCAGACTGAAATGATCCGTGCATGCTTTTGGACATAATGGCGGGGTAATTTTGTTTCAGTGCTGTTATGTTTCATCTGAGAGCTACTACACATTATGCAATTAGGTTTTATTACAAAACAATAAAGCTATGCTTTGCTAAAACCACAGAGACCTCGGAGAGACAGATTTAAAAACCACTTTTCTCTTGGCTGACCAAAATACATTTTCAGTGCAATATCCTCAAAAATTATTTTTCATTTCAGTCAAACCTCATTTTTGTATCCATTATGTTATTTAAGTCAAAGATGAAATATCCTGCAGCTTGTGACACTTGACCAAATATTCTGAGAAACATCTGCCACGAAGCCCGTAGCAAGCTTTAGAGCTGAACCTGTAAAGATGGCAGTAGGAATATCTTCAGACCACTCCGTCTTTCTTTAGAAGTGCAGGGATTACAAAAGCTGTTGAAAACTGAAGAAAAAAAATCTCTGTGGATACTAATTACTTTGAAACATACAGCAATAGACGAGAGAAGACCACACAAAAGCAGAGGAATGATATTGATTTTCTCTGGCTTGCCAGCAAGTCACACATCAACCGACACAGTTATTCCAGAAGTTTTTATTTACTATCGCATCAGTGTCTCAGATGCTCTTCCCAACCTTTGTATAGTTTCCTCTGCACTTGCACACAAGCAAAAGTAACTGTTGCAGGCAAACAAACTTTAAAGGTTTTTTTTCCTTTCACCTTTAGAGCAGTGGTGTTCCATATGAAGTTTAATTTACCGCTTTATTTTTCATATATTTTGACCTCAGGTCCATCAATACCATAACCACATGATCATATCACTGTTTATGGATTACCAAAAAGAGCCTTTTAACAGTTAAAGTTAGAGGTTAACAGCTACAGCAAAACATATTTTGTGCATCTTAGATCTCTCTTAGATTTTATTTTTGTGTGTGTGTGTTGAATAAGGAGTGTTTTCATCAAGTTTTACATGTCAGTAACATCCAGACGTGCATTATTATTATTAGCTGAGAGACAGGCTAACGCCCAGAGCCACAACGCAGTGTGATTATGCTTGCCCCTGCAGTTCAAAACAGATGCTCTTCACCAGCACTGGCAGCATGAAAGAGCCCGAGGCAGGCAGCTATTTTGGGTAAATTAGTAAAGACAACAGTTGTTCCCCAGGTTGATGCTGCCACGCTGAGGTGTGGTGCAAGGCGACAGAGTGGAAAACACAGACTCAACCTGGGCAGAGCAACCCTGCGGGCGTTTGTCATTTGGAGGGACTCCAGCCGACAGGTGGCTGCTGTGGTCGACTGCTCCCCATGCACCTTATCCAGGTAATTAGCCATTCAGCTCAGGAACGCAGGAGAAGAGGGCAGTCATTGACAGAGACAGGTATAATGAAGACGGGGTTACTGTGGAGACATTATTTTTGTACACTTCATATTTGTGCATGCTGCCTCCTGTTCGACTAGCAGCCTCTGGATTTTACTTCATACAACACCATCTTTTACTGTCAGAAACCAGTTGCATGTTGCAGGTAAATTCCATAATACCCCTGACTTTCCATGTCCCAAGAGCTAGTTTTAACAGCTGGGGAGTGCAATGGCAGGTCATCCAGCCTTGACTGATGCCCAATGCACGTTGCCCTACAGCACCTCCTGCAGGTTGTGAGCCCATGATGCCTATTCGGGCTGACTAGGTCTCTCTCAAGCTTCCTCCTTGGGCCTGCCTTCAGGGTTGGGTGGCAGTAACCCTGAGTCAGGCAGGGTAAACTGGTCTCTTAGTCATATCTTCATGGGGGTTTTGTGACTCACTCATTATTTCACCCCTCATTTAAGACCAATGGGACACCCTACTAGGGCCAAAAGCCCCTTATAATTATGGAATTATGGGAATTATGGAATTTACCCTTACTGTGGTAAATTCTTCTACCACAGTAAAGGTGGCCATTGATCATGGATGCAAGCAGTGGCAATGGGCTTCCTCTGTAGCTGGCGTGGTTGGGCCTTCAGTCATTTGGGAAGGAACTCAGAGTGGAGCCACAACTCCTCAATGAAAGGAACCAGTTAAGGTGGTTCAGGAAACTGATTCTAATACCTCCTGAGTGAAGTGCTGTCAAGAGGAGAAATTATATCTTTCAGCTGGCTTGGGAATGCCTTGGTGCTTCTCCAGAGGAACTGGAAAAGCAGATGGATGGCTGAACTATCTGTTTCTACAATTGGATTCAATAATAGAATTCAAAATTGTAAATAATTACACTTTTGGCATACTATGCAAAACAACATGATCAGTGTAACAGAGTTGTAATAATACCTGACACTGCCTCCACAGGAACTGTAGTGACAGCAGTATGCTAGTAGAGCTCCTGCTGCTCCTGGGCTCTGTCTGTGCTTATACAGAAGGCATTCGTGCACAGTATTGAGTTTCTGGCCAAGCACGACGTGCAATTCACAAAAAGAGACATCAAGCAAAAATATATGCTTTAACTTACATTTATGGCAACACACAGAATATAATGATTTGTAACCGTTTTAAAAATTGCAACATACTGTACACCCTTTCTGTCACTGCTAACTGTATTTTCCCCTGTTTGTCTTTCAGCAAGATTATGGAACAACTATCAGGCTGAATTTGGTAAGTATTTTATTCTGTACTTTCAAGGAGAAAACACTTCTCAGTGCTCAGCTGATGGGCATCTTTCTCCTCGTAGTACAAGGGCAACAGCCAACTCCAGTTCATTATAAGCTTGATTACTTATTATGCTATTGTGCTCATATTTAGCATCATATACTAATTATATCTAATTGGCCAGTCAAACCCCAGTAACCCCTCCAGTGCTACATGAAACCATTGACCTCTACAAACAAGCATTAAGAACCTGTAGTGGTAATGGGTAGCCATTTTCCACAGCATTGTTCTAATAATGATTTCTCTATGCCCTTTTAGGGGTCTGAAGTTTTGTGACTAGGTCTTTTTTGAGAAGCACAATATGGTTGGTAGTTCACTGTTTGAGTATTCGCCACACAGTCAGAGTTGAACGTTCTATAAATGACCCAGTGGATAGTTGTGGTTGAGTCAGCTTTGAGGGGCAGTAAATGGGGAAAAGGAACTATGTAAATGGAAACCTGGCTGGTGGTGCTCTGTTGGGAAATCAGGTGGCCATTTGAATATTCAACCCCAGGGCCAGCGCTCTAATTCCTTTCCACTCAACATGCCACACAAGGAGAAAGGAAGTGACAAAATGGCAAGGAGTGCAGAGACAAGAATTTGCATTTTAATGTGCCTGTCGGAATCACTTTGGATAAGAGCTGGGAGTATGAGAAACCACATAACCCCAAGGGTCGCCACCATACAACCTATAATAGCCGACACCCAGAAAACAACATCCTGCATAAGAGGAAGTTGTTGCTAAACAGGAAAGGGGCTTGAGAGAGGAGTGTAAATTTAGATTTTTAAGATGGATAAAGAGCTATGTAGGTTGAAGAAAGATGGTCAAATATATTTTTGGAAAGAAAAGTTTCTGAATATGTCCTGTCATCAGCAACAAACACACAAACAACTCTTCTGGTGGTAAACGTTGTCATTAATTGCCGTGACAGTTAAATTCTGAAGATTGCCTTCCTGAAGGACAAGTGAATTTATCACATCTGGATAAACAACCAACTGTCTAAGCAACAACTGCAAGGACAGCAGCTAAAGCGTTCAAACACATAATTATTCTTTTCTATTTGTACTTAAAGCTATAGAAATATTTTAATTCCCCAGCTCAGCAACAATGAAGAAGCAGTTTTTTTTTCCATCTCCACAATACTAACAGAGGAAAACTACAATGTGACTGAAGAAGTTATTCTTAAAAGCGGTGCCACTCTCTTAATGTCCTCAATCACATTGTCAGCTGGCAGAAGGTGAGGTACGTATTGAACGCCTTGATTAAATCAGTTCAATTTTATCCCGTCGTTAGAGAGTGTATCTTTCCACATATCGATGGGTGTGTGTCATGCCCTGGCAGACGCAAGGACACTGAGTGAGTGGCACTCACACCTCCGCTGTCACAGATTGTCAGAGAGCAGACAGCAAGGCAGCAAGGCCAGACATCAGGATGCTATTGAGAAACCAGAGTCATCCTAGAGCAATGCATCGTTGAGGCTGATTCACCTCAGTGTTGAAACTATCTGTCTGCTCAAGGTCCTCTTTACAGTATAGATTAATGATATTCTCTACTTGGAAAACCAAATAGCCACCTCTAACTTTGTCTGTCAATAGCCTGAAAATGTAATAAATACATTTTCTTTAATTATATCAACCCTGAAATGATGAATTCTTTGGACTTTTTGCTTTCACAAAAATGACAAGACAAGGAACAAAGGGAAACTGAGGGCTTAAATACCAGGCTAATGATGATGATAGGAGACCAGTGAGTACACAGCTGAACTTAATCTAACTAATCACACACAGGAAGTGGAACAGGACAAAAATGCACACACATCAAGGCTAACATAATAAAAAAAGGAAACATGAACATGTACAAACTGAAAGGCCCTGGAGAAAAAAAACCCCACAACATTACCTGTGAAGTTTTTTGCATGTAATGGTGGACATGTGACAGTTTGTGCTGACAACGTAATGATGTTTATTGCAACATATGAAGTGCTTAGAACCGCTGATCAGATCGACAAAGCGTATTTCTGGAGTATAATGTTATTTGTTGTTGGATGCGCTTTTTACGCAATTTTTGCAAACCCATTGGTCGAAGGAAACCACAGCGTGGGACAAACTGGATGAATGATATGCAAGTAAAACTCCTTGTTTTTCATATGCAAAAAGACAAATTCTTGCTCTAGCTCATTTGGTTGCAATTCAATCAGTATTTTAAAAATAGTTCGGCAAATAGGATCGCGGGCTCTCCCATCAGCTTTTACGGGTTAAAAGGAACATTTAAGATAGGCTCAGTATTAGGTCCGATGTACTTCTAATCCCAGCAAAATGTCCTTAGTGAAAATGCCTGAGGCACAGTTATGTGTAGATATAAGTGGAGTCCATCTTCAACATCATTTGTCCATTATACCCACTATCCCTCGTCTGCAGATGTCCAAACCATCTCAGCCTTGCCTGTCTAACTTAATCACCAAATTGTTCAAACCAACACTTTACTATACTCCCTTCTAATCCTGTCCCTTCTTGTATCAACAAGAATCTTTAGCTCTTCAACTTTGCTACCTCCAACTCCACCTCCCGTCTTCTCCTGTCTGTTTGTCACCATCTTGGCAACTATCTTGAAAAAAACAGGAAAAAAAATAAACAGACACATTTTCCAGTCTATAAGTGAGAAAATGGGAAAGTGTCAGAATTTGGCAAATAAGCAGATGTATTTAAGAACCACTTAAAACAAATAACTAGATTCTGTGGGTAATAGTTAATGAGTCTGAGAGATTTTGCCATGTTTCAGTGGCATCTTGCTGTGGAATATTTTAGAAAACAGTCATTAACTGATGTTGGACAATAATAGAATATGAGCTTAACTGACTATAATTTCTAGTGCCAAATAGTGAGGGCAGGAGCTTTTAATCATCTAGCCGAGTAATCATGTTCCAAGTTGTGACACATGCCAGTCTACATGGCTACCACAAAATGAGAAGTGAAAACTGCTAATCAGCAAAAGCAATAATTTGGCTAGTGCAGAATCGCTCTTTAAACTTGGCGGCACCTTAAAAGCTGTAATCCTGTAATGATGAAAACATTTACTTCAAGGTGTGTCAGTATGGTTGTCATAAATACAGATGACAGGTAGAGTGCAACAAAGCACACTTCAGCTCACACCCAGTTCCACCCATAAATGACTCTCTGTGTGATGATAAATACAACAATCATATATCACTCAAAAATAGACATTTATTGTAATACAAATGTCTGCCAAGTCATAAACGTTGGATGGTAATCGCTCGTTTTTGTCTGTCCCTCTACACTGCCATGCTCCACTTAACTGACAGCCTTTTGTTTCATCTTTCACCATGTTATATCCCGAGCCTGTTCCAACCACAATTAATACATGTGCTTCCATTAAATGGAGGCTCTAATTTTATCTTTTACCTTTTGGGTGTTTTAAAGGCACTGCGATGGTGACTCATTGCAACAGTTCTGGTCCCTGTGCCCTTCACAGCAACCTCCTTTTCCATTCTAAAAACTGACATTTTGTCAACTTGTTTGCTTTCCCATTAGGAGTAGATGAGAGTTTCGACCAGTTTGGGTCTCTGCATTCAACACATAGTTGTCCAGCACAGGTTAGCAGGAGGATAGCCTCCAGCAAAAAGAGGAGAAATGATGCTCCCGGCTATTCCTGCGTTAAAGTCTTTTCGTCATGTGTCTATCTCTCTGTCTCATGTGTCTGTGTTATCTGTGCAACAGACCTGTCCAGTGTTTATTCTGTTCTCACCCTATGACAGCATGGAGAGGTTAAAGACACCCACGACACCGTGCTGCTGACAAAGCATCTTTTGCAGCAGTCTTTGTGCACAATCAACAAAGGTTACTTGTAGTAATATCCCTAGTTGAGCTAAATTTTTCAAAAGGAGCAGGAAATATAAAAGAGTAAGGAAGAATTGTTTGCAACTAAAGTCATTCAGGTGAGATCAGTCAAAACAGAGTCATTGCAATAATACAGTAACCAACATGAACTGCAAAGCCAGCATCAAATCCTGCAGGGTTTTACTGTTTTTTCCAGGACTTTGCTTCCAACATGTCCACAACTTTTCTAACTTTCCTTTGTTTTTTCTTCTCCCCGATTTCCCATTCACTCCATTTTCTACACATCCAATATCTTTCATAATTGTCATTTAGCCTCTCAGTCAGTCTGGCTTGCTCTCTCAGGGCCTCCCTTGTTCACTAAATGCTATACCATTCTGTTGTAATCTGACCCAGCCTTCCATGCCATTATTGCACCAGCTCTCCCAGATCCGGTCCTAATGCAATTGCAAAAGCTTTTCCACTTTCACTGTTTCCCCATTTTTACTTAATAAACCCCGTCTCATTGTTTTTGGGCCGCAAACAGAATTTCAATTCAATTTAATTCATGCTACTGCTCTGGGTTTTGCAGAAACAACATCGTTCTTGCTTTACCACTTTTTGCAAAGTGTCGTTTGTCAGACGCTGCAAATAGGCACATAGAATTTGAAGAATTGAAGATGATAAAATGAGATTTTGGAGAAAAAAAATGAGAAATGATGTTTTTAAATTTCATTTCTGTAATATGACATTTACATGGATTCCAATAACAATTTCAGTGTAACTGTTTATGACAGGGTTGGAGCTCAGACCTTAGCTGTTATTGACAAATGGTGGAACCAAAAGGATTAAACTTAGGTCCTTATATGTGATAACGGTCTTTTTTTATTTATGGTTTGTTTTGCTTTATAGCTATAGAAAATGACCAAAAGAGGAACAGTCAACATAATTAGAGCAGGCAAATCAATGCACAAAACTTCCAACTTTCTCTTCTCTCCATCAGGTCTTGTGCGCTGGGCCAGTGGGGACACTTAATTCAGCCTGCAGTCAGAGGAGATGAACCCACACTGTGTTCTTGAACATTCATTTCCTCGAGGGAAACAGTTCCTGTAGGCTTAACATGCAGCTGATGACTCCCTTGATTACCTGCAGCTCTTTCCACTTCCGTCTTGTTGTTGTCCTGCACTCTCTCTCACTCTCATTGGTTTCCATCCTCATTTGACCCTATTGATTTATCCCGCTCATTCTCCTTTTCGTATGTATTTGCACAGCTAATCTGCAGTGCAGCTTTGACCTATTGTCCAAACAATGAAGTGGAAACGAGCTGCAATAGCTGAATGAAAAGCATGGCAATTGTGTTTCAATTGTTCTACGTTAGCGAAAGCATCCATGTCAAAAGGTTAGCCAACCAAAATGCTCGCAGGCCTGTAGACAGCAACACAAAACACTAAGAAAGAAAAATCAGTATTTAGATATTTATTCTGTATAGGTTAGTTTACAAAAATTAAAGAAGGTTTGTAATGTTTGGATGAAGATTGATCCATAAATATCTAATCACTAGCTCTAGTAACCCTGAGCTGTTACATCTAAACACAAAAGCTCTGTTTCTTTTGTGGGTTTTCATTCTTCTAGTTTGGTCCACCTGAAGCCACACTGGAGAGGACACTGAAAACAACATTCAAAATGAATAAGACTCTGGAGTTTTTATTTGATTTTTTTTTTTTGCTCGTCAGAGAAGGGTAGCTTTTTTCAGCTGTGGTAATAAAATGAAAAATACTTCTGTAAGCTTCTGTAAGGGAAATTTTTCCTTAGGTGGGCTTACTAAGGGTCTGGTAGAGATCACTTGACAGAGTCACTCACTAGAGGTGCCTCACAGTTATAATATAAGAATTTAATGATTTAGTGTTCATCTCCTGGTGCCACAGAGCTATAGACATCCAGTTTTGTAAAAGCTTTGGAGAAAGGCCTTGCATAGTCAACATGCCTTCACTGAGTTGTAATCATTTTTTTTTTACTTTTACTTTTATTGTCACCATGCATGCAATGTCTTGTATTCAAAATGAATATATGGAATGTATCTAAGTAGCAGCAAACATGATTAGCTTGTACTATTATCCGTGTTATTGGAATGACTTTGCAGTGACAAATGGTAGCGATTCACTCTATTTTCCAACAACTATAGGAATATTATCATTGAACTGGAGTGTCAAGGCTGTGTGATGAGAAGCACACCTTAGGACTCAGACTTAAATGTTTTAATGCAAATGGGTTTGCTTGTGTGAATGATGGTAAGTTCTTGCGGAAGAAAACTAGCAGGTGATACAAAGACAATGAAACTGTTAGTTTGGAGTGAATGGAGCAGACACGGAGAGATTGGAACATGAGGAGGGTCTTGCACAAGGAGAAGGTGGAGTTACAACTTGGTGACATCTTTACACAAGAACCAAGTGCTAGGAATTAGTCCTGACTGCACTAGTGATGAAACAACCTGCAATGGCGTGAGTGGCAGGACTTGGGTTGATATAGAGTAGTTAGATGATTGAGTTGGGGGTGATTAGTCGATTGAGACCAATCAGGCAGTCAAGTGTGCTATCCAGAGAACGATGCCCAAGAGTGTACACAAACACAGACAGAACCCAAGAGGCAAGGCAGGCCAGTAAGGCAGGCATAGGAATTATGACAAAACCTCCACTACATGCTATTTCTTTTTTTGTTTTACTCCAACAATCTGATAAGACAGTTGTTCTTGTAATATTAGACATTTACTAAAAATGATTCATTCATCCTCATGTGAATTCGAAGCAAATTCAGCATAGCCAAGCTCTCTTTGTGTTAGCTGGCTTGACAAAACTGAACACCTGGGTCAAAGATAACAAGTATCAAGACAGTGTTTAACAGTTTTTTCTGTTAACCAAAGTGTCTGCTTCAAGCTCTGTGTACTTTCACACAAAGGAGGCCATTTGACAGGTCATCAAGTCTTCTAAGCAAAATGAATCAACTGAGCACTGCCAGCTGCTATCAGAAACACTATCAGGGCAATGAGTGAAAGAGGACTTATTATATTAAAATGTTTGTATTACCTCCCAGTCCATTCTCAGTGCTGTTGTTTATATGTGCCGTTGTCGTTTTAGATTTAAAGTACATGCACTTAAACATTAAAGATTTCAACCACTGCAAACATGCCCTATGCAGTCCTCTAAAATCCCACTTGTGTGTCGCATAATGTGGATGACGCTGTGTATCAGTTGAATACTGACTGGTTGACAAGTGTGCCAGAACAGGGAAGGGTGCAACAGTGGTGTTCACTGGGAATGAAGGAAACATCAAAATTAAAAAAAGTATAGTACAAAAAGTACAAAAAGGGGCCTCCGTGGAGACTTTTCACAGTTTTTAACATCAGTTTCACTTCAGCACTTTATATGTTAGAACTGTTTAAGAGTAGCCCACAAAGTGGTTGTACCGCATATTTTTTGAACTTGCTCACATCTGATAAGACTCACAAGTTATTATAAGACACCATTTGAATTGTATTTTCACTTACAGCCTAGTTCCAGTTTCATTTACTGATCGGTTAGATTAGGATTGGGCAAGATGTTAATCCCACATGCTGAACTATGCGATCAGTGCATTTGAGTATAATGCAAATGTAATGGAAATGAGCCTGACAAAGCAACCATGAGATAAGTTAAATTTTGTGAATAAAACACAAGCAGACAAGAAAATATGTGAAACTATCAGGTTGCCATGAGAGTCATATTTTGTAGTATCATTATTAAGAACTCTCCAGAGAAAAACTCCCAAGAGAAAGTTTCAAGTGGGTGCTGGAGATATGAAACAAAGTATCCCATCCCTACTCATGTCTATTACTTTCTCTTCATCCGTATTACACAAAAGGCAGATGAAAATGGCATGCCATGGAGACCCAACATTTGACAGTAGCAGTTTTATTGTCATTCTCATTATCATAAATCATTTGAACATGTTGGCAAAACTAAACCAATAATTAGTTGTGCTTGGCAGGGAAATGTCCACTTGGCTGCAGGGGATGCTCATTTGTGACTTTGGCACATGGCTTGCAGTTAAATTGTTTGTCTAATACTCTCAAAGAATTACTCCCCATGTAAGTCCAACCTGCATGTCTGGACCGCTCCCAGTTTGAAACACAGTTTTAAACACAGAACATTTTCCCACCTTAATTCAGATGCTGTGACAATGTTTAGGAATGAAATCTTGGCTATTACACCGTCTCTGAGCAGCACTGTTTGCAGAAAAAGACCTATAACTGTGCTTTTAATACCTCAGCCAGACCATTAATTTCACTCCCAGTAAAATAAATGTTCCAAAATAGTCCCAGCTATAAAATTCTAGCACCGTTTACATATCTTCTTTAGCTAATGTGAGACACAGTTCAGATCAGAACTCAATGCTCTGAGACATGCCTGCATGGATCATTACAAACTTCTTTTTCTTTTTGTCAGCATCATTATGATGACATGCTCTTGTGTAGCAAACAATTCTAATTTGAGACCACTGGGGGGAAAAAAATCCTTATGAGTTGCACTAGCATTTATTTTTATATAAACAGCAGATTATATGGCTTCTTGCAGGTGTTGTGGTATGAACCTATTGCTGAAAAAAAGGCACATTTAACATTACAAAATAAGGTCAGAACATGTTATTGTAGCTTTATTTTCATGTATAAGTCGAGTCAGAGGCTGTTTGCTGAGGTTCTGATGCCATCTGTGGGGTCAAAGACTCATTCTCCATCTTTGGTATCTTGAGCATTACCATCTGCTGGGTGTCAAGATATTTGCAGCTTTGCATCATGCTGTGTACTAATGATCATAATTAGATCATGGACATCTCTGTATAGTTGTACAGTCCTGTTGAGTGTCCCAGTGGACATTCCCTGGTCAGAGACAGGTATTCAGAATAAAACTTTGTAGTTTTAGTTTTGGTGGCCATAGGACCAACTCTGCTTTTTACAGATGTGTGGTGACCTCCAGCTCGCACTGGGAGAGTTTATGTGATTGAGATTAGAATTAACACCTTCAAGTCTGCTCAGCCAGAAAAGGGTAGAGTATCTGCTCCGAGTCAGGGGTGAGCTGTTGCTCAAAATGGAGGAGTTGAAGCATTTCAGGGTCTTGTTTACAAGTGAGAGGAGAGTAGAGAGGTAAACTGACAGTCTAATGTAGTGAAGCAGGAGCTGAGAGTGAAGACCAGGCTGTCCATTTACTGGTCAACCTATGTTTACAAGCTGTGGGTGGGAGCCAAAAGAATGAGATTATACTTATTTACTTGACTCGGTGTCAGAGATGGGGTGAGGAGCTCAGTCATTTGGGAAGGGGCTCAGAGTAGACTTGGAGCTAGCTGAGGTAGTTTAGATATCTGGCCAGGATGCCTTCTGTACGCCTCTTAGAGAGGTGTTTCAGGCATGTCCTGACTGGAGAAGACCCAATGACAGATCCATGATGTAATACAGAGATTATATCTCTCAGCTGGATCAGGAAAGCCTCAGTCTTCCCCCAGGAGAACTGAAGGAGGTGGCACAGATAACACCCACGAGATAGACGGATGGATGGATGGATACTTTATACTGGGCCTTTCTGTGTGGCATTTAAAAGTTGTCCTTGTATCTCTGTGGGGCCTCTTCAGGTACTCTGGCATCCTCCCATAGTCCAAAGACATCCATGGGATTAGGTTAATTAGGGAGTATGAATGGCTGTCTCTGTGGGTTTGCCCTGGAATAGACTGGTGACATGTTCAGGTTGTACTCTGCCTCTTGGCTTAAGGCCCCTGTGACCCTGAATGGGATAAATGGAAGTCAATGGATGGATGGACATCTTTTTATGCATTTTTTGAGTGTTTTATTTAAACATGGCATATATTTTACCAGCAATATTTGTTCATGAATAAAAGAGGTAACTGTCACGGGTTGCCGGGGCAAGCCGTGTGGGAAAAATTTAGGACCAGGAAGCGGCAGCTCTGGTGCAAGTGAATTTAATAACAAAAGGAAAATACAAATAGCAATGGCGCAGGTGAACATGAAACAGGAAAACCTAAACTGGGCAAAACTAACAAAACAAACCAGAAACGAAGATGCAGGGAGGCACAGGAAAATACACGGGAACACGGACGGAGAGAAGCAGACGAACCAGCAACGAGGACGAGGTAACACACACTATAAATACACACACCAGGAATCAAGGGATGGGAAACAGGAGGGGAACACACCTGGAAGACATCCCAGCTGACGAGGCAGGGGAAACATTAACAGAACGCACTGACATCAGACAGGGACCTTCAAAGTAAAACAGGAACACATATACGCAAAGAGACAGACTGAGAACGCAAACTAAACACAGAGACCTTAATACACAAAAGGGGACACCACAGGCAGGGGTAACACCAACAGAGGGAACACAACCCACACAAACTTAACACAGACTGGGGGACACAGAACATAGGAACATGTAATGTGAAAAAGGAGCACAAAAACCCATAATAATAATAAACTTAAACATAAACACGGAGTCACAGACTCCGGACCATGACAGTAACATTTAGACCAAACAGAAAAATGGGTATACAAACATTCACTTGGAAAGGAAGCAGTGACAGCAAGTAGGCTAATGCAATTTAAACAGGTTGCGTGGGAAGTGACATTTAGCTTTACACAAGAGTATCCACTGAAGTGGACTAGTATTAAAATCAGCTGGTATCAGCTGACCTAACAGGACTTCTGAATGAGCTTGATTTGAAATACTAAATACTGAATATGAATGAATATCATAACCGAAAGAAAGTCAACCTGATTTTTTTTTCTTTATAACAAGCCTGTTATTTCAGAAGAGATAACAGGTTTGATGATAATGAGGTTGACATTTCAAGTCCACCCCACCCACCGCCACCAACCCGCCACACAAAAAGAGGAAAAAACAAACACAAGAACGCACTGAATTTACAGTGTATAAGTATAAACTACGTGCATTTTGTTCATCAGGAACATTGTACTCAGAGCATACAATATCTTTGGCGTATTAAAATGTTATTATTAAAAGGGTTTATGTGTTCTTTGCATTTTTACCATCAGCAATATTTTTATTATCTCCAAACAAATAAATTCTCTTTTTCTTTCAGATGAAACAGTAAGCGGATAACTAAAAAACTGAAATAAAATTAGGCATAACTGTGTCTAAAATTGCAACAACTTCAAGAAATGACTCTAAACCAATTACTCTGGAAAGCTGGCTAAGCTGGGGTGTCTGTTTGTTTCTGCCTCTCCAGGAGAGAAAAAACACGATGCAATGGTGTTTGAAGTGAGACAAAAGACAACGTACTGCAGCAGAAGAAACTGAAAACAAACATTAGTTAGGAGATTTGTTCACTCTCAAAAAAGGGGTGGGGAGGAGTATATTTGTTTTTCTTATCCAGACACGTTTAGTGGCAAGAATAACCAGAAGACAAGCGAGTGAAACCTGCCAATTTCTGACAGCATTTGTCATGTCTGATATTTTGCATTTTAAGTTGACATGCAGTGAACCCAGCAAGAAATAATAACCTGAGCTCTTGAGAAAAATGCCTTGAGGACTACTATAGTCCTCACTTGCCCACTTTTTATGTGTCCCTTAATCTTGCAATGTCTCTTCCTTCTATTTCTCAGCAAATCCTCTGTCTTCTTTCCTCCCTTTATTTCCTCTGCTTTTGCAATCTTCTTTTGATTTTTCTATTTTCTGTAATCTCACAGAAAGTGTCAGTGCAGGACATCACGCTGTGTCACAAGCTGACATCTGACACAGGCCAGGCAGCATAGTCAATAAAGTCCTCTAATTGAGTGCCACTGGCTGCTGTTTATTGACAAAATAAGACCTGGGAATTAGGTGTGTCTCCGTCGGGTGCTCACTGCCCCGCTGTCCTCCTGCCTGTCGACAGCTGTCCACTTCCCATCCATCACCCGCTCAGCTTGGTTTGCTGTCTACGTCAAACGATAGTACCTTACTTGCAAAGCAACGACCATTCTTACCTTCCCTACAAAAGTACAGGTGAGCGGGTTCAGAAGCAAAGAAAGACAAAAAAATTACATG